CCCATCTGGAAAAAAAAGTTCTGTTCTCATGAAATTTGCAGCCTGATATTTGCAGACCCAGGAGGTTCAGGCAGTTTGGGTAAGGTTCATATAAACATCCCTGCCACCATCTGAAACCCATAAATAGGGCCTTTGGGGAAAAAAAAAAAAAAACAAGGTCCCTCCTTTTTTCACACCACATTGACATCTTTTATCTGCAGTGAGACTTTATTCAGTGGAGTAGAGAGCATTTGGGGAAAGACTGAGCAAAAAAAAAAAATTAATAGATGGCCTTAAAAGTAAGGACTCCGAGTGAAAAACAGAGCTGGTGGTGTGTGCTCCCACTCACAGAAACCCAACAAAAGCTCCAAAGTCCCTGTGCAAGAAGGGTCTGGCATCCCCTGGGCTTTGGTGGAGTGCCGGAAAGATCAAGATGCAGAGCTCTGGGGCCTTCTGTCTTTTCCCACATAGGTGGTATGGCTCAAATATAACAAGTTTGACCTTTGGTTCCCAGAAAAACAAATAATAAAAGTGAACTAAATGGCAAGTTCTGAAAAGAGTTAGAGGTTACTTGCATATGCCCTGAATGGGCAATGCCCTGGAGACACATAAAAATTCAGTAATACACCCCACTGTGCAAATCTTTCCCCCATTGACTATAGTGGAAAGTTCAAATCTAAATATTCATCACCTGTTTATTCAGGCACTTTGTTCCCCGAGTTCTGGGTTGAAGATGCCAAATGACTGCATTTCTTTAATAATTAGTGCGTTTTGGACTGACAGGTCAGTTTCCCTTTCAAAGCGCAGACACACCTATGCGGAATTAATTGGATTTAGGATTGAATGATGCCATACACTTCAAGAATGCAAAGCTCTGGGCAAATTCTGTTTCCTTATCCTCATTTAATCAATATTTATTGAGGATGTAGTAAAATTAGAAATGGGAAACAAAGAAGAAATCTCTGCCCTCAAAGGTCCTATAGTTTAGTTCAAACATTTATACACAGGAAATTACATACTCTAACCCTATGTGCTGTGTGTATTTTATTTTTACTTTTCATCAAATTCTTAATTTTTTTTTTTTGCAGGGGATACCATGGGTTGAACTCAGGGGTGCTTGACCACTGAGCCACATCCCCAGCCCATTTTTGTATTTTATTTAGAGAGAGGGTCTCGCTGAGTTGCTAAGCTCCTCACCATTGCTGAGGCTGGCTTTGAACTCGAGTTCTTCCTGCCTCAGCCTCTAGAGCCACTGGGATTACAGGTGTGCACCACGGCATCCAGCAAACTCTTAAAATTTTTTATTCAATGTACCATATTGTTGGACCTACAGGCTTTTTCTGATGCAGTTTGTGAATGTCTCTAGCTGAAGCCACTTGTAACTTTAATGGTCAGCAAGCTGTCCTTGCTAACAGGGACATTCAAGGTTGACTACTCCATGGGAGGGAACAGGGAGAGGTGTACCCTGTGAATAAAAAAATGACAAAATATTTTTTAAAAAAAAGATGAGAAAGCAGCCATGAAATGAACAGGGCCCTCATGATGAACGTTGGCATCACATGTGGCTGGCACTTAGCTTTTTTTTTCTTAACTCTGATCTTATAGCAAATGGGTTGCCCAGAAGCCAAGGACAATGGGTCAGACTTTTTAGCTGATTCAGGTGTCAGGTGAAGCAGGCAAGCTAAAGGGACAGTGTTAAATGGCCCCCAGCTCAGGCTGGGTGTGGCAGCTGTTTATAACGGAGATGGAGGCAAACCACTGGCAGGTAAGGAAGATCACTTTGGCAAATCTTTGGTGCCAGAGGGTCCTAGGAGAAATCTAACTTCAAGACAAAGTTCAAGAAGAATGAAAAGAAGTGCACAAATAAATCAGGAATAAGCAAAATGTCTTTTGTAAAAGGCAGGATAAGAAATATTTGACGTTTTTGGATGAAACTGGAGACTATCAATCTAAGTGAAATAAGCCAGTCCCCCCAAAAAAACTCTCTGATATGCTGATGATGACTCACAGTAGTGGGGGGGGTCACCTGATGGGACAGAGGGAAGTTGGGGGGAAGGTGGAAAGATGGAAACAGGAAAGACAGTAGAATGAACAGGACATAACTTTCCTGTGCTCATATATGAATACACGACCAGTGTAACTCCATATCACGTACAACCACAAGAATGGGAAGTTAGACTCCAAGTATGTATGATATGTCAAAATACCTTCTACTGTCATGTACAAGTAAAAAGAACAAATAAAATAAATTTTAAAAATATTTGAGGTTTTGTGGCCACATGTGGTCTTTGTCACATAGTCTTGTGTGTGTGTATGTGTTTGTGTGTGTGTTCAGTCCCTTGAAAATGTATAAAATATTCTCAACTTGAGAGCTTATCAAAATAGGTCACAGGCTGGATCAGTCTACAGGGAGTGATTTGAAAACTTCCATTTGATAAATACCTACTATGCACCTACTATATGTTAGACATTGTGCCAAAAGAGGAGCTATTTAGATAAATGGTTTAGCCCTGCCATCAGGAAGTGTCTAATATGTGCTAGCAATTCAACAGAGAGTGGGTTAAGCTGAAACCAAAAACACTAAGCTATTCTGTAAAATACCAAGTGGCAACTCCATAAAATAACTTTTCCTCTCTACAAGAGGTTAATCATCTTGGTATTTCTGTCACTTAGCATCATAGAAGGACTGCAAAAACTATGTATTAAAAACATATCAACCTGGGCACAGAGGTGCATGCCTGTAATCCCAGTGGCTCAGGAGGCTGAGGCAGGAGGATCTCGAGTTCAAAAGCAAGGCACTGAACAACTTATTGAGACTCTGTCTATAAATAAAATACAAAAGTAGGGTTGGGAATGTGGTTGCCTGCCCCTGAGTTCAATCCCCAGTACCCCCCACGAAAATCAGAAAATATGAATTAAAAAACAAGCTTCCTATGTATAGTATTGAATTTTAAAGTTTGTGTGCTTGGCAATATTGCTTAACAAAGCTTTTCTTTTTCTAATTGAAGAGTTTGCTAAAGCATTTTCTTTTCTAAATTATACCTTCCACAAAGTCAGTACTTTACTTATGCCATATTTTGAATCACCAGAACAATACATGCATTTTCATGTATGGTCAAAATACACAGATACAGGTAGAATTTGGAGATTTCTTATATTACAAATTCAGTATCTTTGTATGAGTTCCAAATTTCCTATTCACTGTTTAGAAGATTATAAGAAACAAAACTTATGTGCATTTTCTTTTTTTTACCTGATCACAAGAGTGTGAGAGTACATACTGTTTCCTTAAAAAATAGAATCATCACTCACAAATGTGGTTGTGTACTCACTATGCCAAGAGGAGACAGATGTGGTCTGTTCACTTGGGGACAGGTGCACCATTTTTTCCTTCTTCAACAGTCTTTTCTTTTTATAGTTCCATGCTTTTGACCTCTATTAGATTCCTTCTGCTGAAGAACTTTTAACATTTATTGTAGAACAGGCCTGCTAGTGATAAATTCCCGGGGTTTTTATTTGTCCAAAAAGTTTCATTTCTTCTTCACTTTAGAAGGATAATTTTGCTGGCTATAGACTCTTAGGTTGGTGGTTTATTTCTCTCAACATTTTATATGTTCCATTCCTTACTTTTCTTGCATTATTGGTTTCCAATGAAAAGTCCTTTGTATTTCTTCTTTTTTTCTGTAGTTATTTTCTCCCTTCTTGTTTCTTTCCAGATTTTCTCTTTATATTTGCTTTTCTGCGGTTTGGATAGGATATCTCTTGGTGTGGGGTATTGTTGTTAATATCCTAATGGATATTCTGTGAGATTCCTGGATTCGTGGTTTGGTGTCTATCAATTATTTTGGAAAGTCCTTAGCCATTAATACTTCAAATATTTTTCTGCTCTATTTTCCCATTTTTCTCCTTGGTATTCTATCTCATAAACTTGCCCCACAATTCTTGGTCTGTTTTGTTTATTTTCATTCCTTTTTCTGCTTGCCTTTCATTAACTTCAAGCTCACTGATTCAGTATTGAGTCTGTGCTATGTCCACTGGTTCTTTAATCTAAATTTTCTTATACATTTTTTACATTTTCCACTTGAGCTCTTCACATCTTCGTGGTAATTATTTAAATTCCTCATTTGATAATTTCAACACCTGTGTCTTTTCTGAATCTGGTGCCAGTGAGTGCTTTCTCTCTTCAGGTTGGGTTTTCATTTGCTTCTGGCATGCTTCATGATTTGTTGTTGTTGTTGTTGAAAGCCAGGTCCTGTAAGAACTGTGATCAATAGGCCTTTAGTGGCTGGGAGTTGGGCTATGGTTAATGTTTTCAGTAGCTATAAGTGCCAGAAATTCAAATTCCCCTAGTGTCCTTGACTTTGTCTTTCTTCCTGATTGTGGGTTTCCCTAAGTTATCCTCTGCAGAGAGAGTCTATCCTGTGGCATCTCCAGCTGTATCTGTGGTTACTATACTGGAGCTTGTTGAAGTGGTGATAAAGTGTAGGAGATGGAACTCTTTATGTTTTTCCAGTTAAATCTCAATATTTTAGTGTGCTCATGTCTCAGGACCATTAATTCACAAGTATTTCTCCAGTGGTACAGCCTTCTGCCCACCTGAACTCTATTCCTTGCCCTGTAGGAAATGCCTACAATGCCTTGCCTTCAAAACCTGACCCCTGTGGACTATGCTTCTCATCCTCTCAGGTCCCCAGCTGAGACAGGATCGCTAGAGGCCACGGGAATGGGAAGGATGCCTTTCTCCATGGGGATGAGCCTCTGGTAGTCCTTTCCCATGAAGACGAGATCTTTGTTATGGGGAAGTCTCTCAGAATATTTCAAATGATTACTTTTCTTTTCCTGCCAGAAACATGAGGGAATCTTTCTTAGATAGTAACTGTGAGAATCTAATAGGATCCCTAGAGAGAAAGTCCATGAAAGTGTTGGCCCCCTCAAGAATGCATTTCCAGGGGGTTTCTAACTGTCACCTGGCCCACACTTATCTCCTTAGCTATTCAGAAATACCACTAGAGGGTTCTTACCAGTTCATAGCCTCAACAGCTTCTGCTCTAGTTAAGCAGAGTTCAGCTGTGATTCCAGGGTAGAAGGCTGCCCTGCAACCTCAGTTGTCTGACGAGTCCAAGAAATGTTGTTGATTTCCACTGGTTCAGCGTTTTCTTGTGAGGATGGGAGTGACCATTTCCACGCACTTTATAAATTAGAACTTCCAATAGAAAAAAAAAAACAAAATGTTTTGGTGAATGTATGTAAGATCCCAAACAAAAGTTGAAAATAACATTCTGAAGTCTCAAAGTTTATCTTTTCTTTGATAACTCAGACCAGACTGAAGTACTAAGGCTACCTAATTGCAGGAAAATACTTAAGAAGCAAGTAACTATAGGAACAACATCACATAGAGTGAGAAGATATGCTTTGCACATTTTACATCCAAACTTTCATACATACGAGGATTCAGTGATAAGATTGCAGTAAAGGGTAATTTCGACTCCTATAGCTACTTAATCATAAGGTCTTATATACCTGGAAAGTACATAATCTTCCTTATCAAGCAGTTATTAAGCATCTACTATGTGCTATAATTATTCAGATTCACGAAAGTTATAATTGGTGAGTCTGAGGGAATAGAATACTAGATAGAGATGTAGATGGTATAAATAAAAATGTTATAACAAACATTGAGGGGCTGGGGATGTGGCTCAAGCGGTAACGCGCTTGCCTGGCGTGCGTGGGGCGCTGGGTTCGATCCTCAGCATCACATACAAATAAAATAAAGATGTTGTGTCCACAGAAAACTGAAAAATAAATATTAAAAAATTCTCTCTCTCTCTCTCTCTCTCTCTCTCTCTTTTCTCTCTCTTTAAAAAAAACATTGATACAAAAATAATGAATATTCATATATTGCTAGAGGGCAAAAATTGGCTCCATGGTTCATGTAATATTTTAAATGCTTTTATGGATAATCTGTTGGTATATCACTTTGTAATTGAATATTAACTAAGAAAAATAACAACTCAAAGCAATAAGTGCTCAATGAGAGGCAGAGACAATAATTGCCACAGAAGATCAGAGAAGCCATGTGTATCAGTCAGCTAGGTACTTATCACCTTTGTGTTAGTCAACTTTGTGTCACAGTTACCTTTGTGTCATGGGCAAGAACAGTCTAGAGGATTTATTTTGGCTCACAGCCCATGGTTAGCTGGCCTTAAGGTAGAAAGATGATAGTGGAAGGGCACAGTGGGAAAGTTGCCTAGCTCTTGGCATCTAGGAAGCAGAGGAAGAGAAAGAAAGAGGAAGGGTTTAAGAGAAGATAAGTCCTTTGGGGCATGCTCCCAGTGACCCACTTCCCCCAACTACATCCCACTTTCCAGTAGTTCATTCAATTATCAATGGATTAATCCATCAAATAGAAATCCTTTGGTGAGGTCATAGCCCTCATGATCCAACTGATGTCTGAAAAGTCTGAATGCCAGAGATTGGCATGCTGGTGCTCTGCCAGCATGAGATCATTGCAAACTGTCCAACAGGGCGACCTGGAAGGCGTCAATGACATCAACAAGAGATCAAGGGATTTCTAGGATTTATGGAAAGAACCACATGCAACACAGAAGAGGCAAGTTCCTTACAATAAGGAAACTGGAGGCACATCTAAAAAGCACCTAAAAACGTCCCATGAGAGAAAAGCCATCACCAGTCCCTGGGATTGCCTATGCCACCTTTCAGCAGTGTAGTTCGCCCTGCCTGGACCTCTGCTGGATTAGTCTCTTTCTCCCAGGGAAACAGAAGAGTTCTGAAACAAAAATGAAGAGCTGAGAATGCTCATGAGGCACTCCCAGATTAGGAACAGATCTATTTGCCCAAAGTAGAGAATTCTGTAGAAGGAAGAGCCTTGGAAGGGAAGTAGAGGGCATACATCACCAGAGTCTCCAATGCTCCTGAGACGTGGGTAGAAGCAAGTTTCACACAAAGTTATGAGTATGTTTCAAGTTAGCAGAACCAGTCAGAGAAAATGAGTCAAGGATGAGGGTTGGTCTTTTGAGGACCAGGGACATTGATGCCTGTAATCGGAGCCCAGACAGTGTGAGGGTATCTGTGACCTCCATAGAGTCCACTGTGAAATCAGGTGGGGAGTTGAAGTAGGTGCATGCTGTAGTTCCTGCATTGCCAGTATTGATGGTTCTACGTTTTTTTTTCTCTAGCAGAATCTTTCAGGGCTGGAGGAAGCACATGGTTCATTTGGGAACTGTTAAAGAAGACATCTTCCCTTCTTTCTTCCCTAAGGTCTGCCTTCACGATGCATCATGTTTGCATTTGTTCCTATGGCTTTTGCTTGGACTTGAACGTCACGGCTTAGCAGCAAGTAATTTCACTCCCTGCCTTAGGACAGTTTTATTTGTTTCACCCTTCTCTGTAGTCTTTGATCAAAAGCATTGCATTCTGCTTGGATTAGGACAGGTCACTCAGCATAACTCTGCCCTCTTTCTAAATCCTTCCATAACTAGTGCATAAATGTGCTTTCCTTCTTCATCTTTAACTGACTACTGCTCACAGGTGAGCTTGTCATCCTTTCTGATGGGTCTAACCTGGTGAGACCCTTTCTGATTGTTAAGACCCACTATCCTGTTTCCTAATTCTTTCAAAATCTAAATTTGAAATTTAGAAGAAAAAAAGAGAGAGATCTCCTATATTCTCTTTTCTATAGTCTTCATTAAAGTCTTATTGCAATTTGTAGCTGTTCATTATGATATATATTTATTTTTCTGCATATTAAAAAACTGTGTCCCCCAACAAGTCTATAAGCAAAACACAAGAGGTCATGGAATTTCTCTATTGCTCTCCAATATTTTGATAGTGTCTGGATCCTACAAATATTCAACAAAAATTCATTGTTGAATTTAACCCATCTCAGGATGAGGGTCCCTTTGGACTTCCCTTATCTAGGTTGTTTATTTCTACTCCTTCCTACCTGGCATAGCCAGCTCCTTCCCACTTCCTGCCCGCCAATTTCAGGTTCTTTTGAAAGCAACCCTGTCAACTTTCATTTACTCAATCCTCTTTTTGGAAAATTGTCTACAGTATAAAAGGTAAATTATTACTGCACAAATCATAAAGAAACACTTTCTGTAACTGAAAAGAGAGAAATCAGAAAGATAATCATGTTCGACCCATTTTAATGCCTTCCTGTCTTCCCAACCGTGGCCCATCAGGAGAAGGGCCCAGAACATTCCTTGAATAGTTCCTGAAGCTCACTGAGCCTGAAATGGTGACAGATGGAAAGAAGTGGGAAAGTTCCTAAATCCAAACCCTGTCAGGAAAAAAAAAAAATGGCTCAGCCTGTTGACAACCTTTCGCATCAGAATCTCCAGTCCACCAAAAAAGAGGATATTCCTGCTCTTTCCTGCCTAGACTTAGCACTTACTTAGTGGGTGTCTTTGAGGTCTGAGGAATTCATAATTTGCTGTGGGTTATATGTCCCAGCACATGGTTTTCATGGAAATTCATTGCTCCTAGGGTCACGTGAATTACTTCAAGGGCCCCAGAGTCACCCCTTTGTCTATAATTGTTTAAAATCCCTCTTTCCTGTTTTAACTGGTATCAAGCTCAAAGCATTCAACTTCATAATGTCCAAACAATCCTGGCTTCCTGAAACTAGTAACATCCCTTGGCTGCCTGGGCACCACTTTTAGTTCAAACAAGGCAGGTCTCCCAGGTTAAGAGACTAACTACTTCTCATGCCTTAAGAATATTTCAGATTTTGACTGGGAGACAGATGCAAGAGCTATGTTCTTGTCTTAGTATGTTGAGGCCAGTGTGCATACATTTGGTTCTTTTGTGTATACATAAAGTGTCATCAAATCTTTTTCATTTCTCAATTTCATACTTACTACAACCTTTATAAACTTTTTTATGTATGTGTGCTTCTGGGCTTCACAGAAGTGCAGGACCTCACACATGCTAACAAGTACATAACTACTGAGCTATATCCCCAGCCCTATTAATTCCTTAAATAAATCCTAACAAGGATTCCTTTCTCACACTGGTAGGTAGCCAAGGTGATTCTGATGCCTCCATCAGAAATCAGAGTTTCCGATTTAATTGGCCCATGGTGGGATCCAGTGGAAAGAATTATTTTAAAACCATCCATGTGATTCTAATTCTTCAGATGATTCTAGCAGTCGTGGTGAGATCCACTGATCTGAAGAAGGACCTCTCAAACTTTCTCTTGGAAGAGAATCACCTCAGGAATTTTATTAAAGTGCAGAGTCCAGCAGGTCATGGGTGGAGCCCATGATTCTGCAATTCTAACAAAAATTATTATTCTATGATAATAAAATTATTTAAAATAGTAAAATAATCAGTATTTAAAATAACATTGTTTATAATCTCAGTTGTGTTTGTTGGATTTTTTGTTTTGTTTTGTTTTGCTTTTTGCAATGCTGGGGATGGAACCCAGGGCTGCACACATGCAGGAGTATTCCGAGGCAAAAATTATTAAGTTATAAGAGCCATAATCTAAACTGTGGGTTAATCCATTTGGTGGATTAATAAATTTTTGTTTATTTTTTAAATATTTTGGTACATTACAATTGTACATAATGGTGAAGTTTGTTGTTACATATGTTGTAAATGCTCACGAGATAACAATCTAATGTGGTGAATATCATTGCCCACTATTTTGGTGGATTAATAATTTGACAGACTACTGCTCTGGCTGGTAACTGTAGGCAGGGAGGGTGTGGATGGAAGAGTGGGTCACGGGGGGCATGCTCTTGGGATTATATCTTGTCCCTTCCTCCTCATGCGTACGTGCTGGCGCTCTCTCTCTCTCTCTCCTACCATCAGCTTCCCTTCACTACATCCTTCCACCATGATGTTCTATTTCACCTCAGGCCCAGAGTGATGGAGTTGACTAGCCATGGACTGAAAGTTTAAAACGGAGTCAAAATAAACTTTCCCCTCTTTAAGTTAATCTGGTTAGGTATTTTGTTCACTGTGATGTAAAGTTGACTAACATGCTAGGTAAGTGCTCTACCACTGAGTTACACCAGCGAGCCCCAAATCTCAGTGTTCTTGATCTATGACTCACACTTTAAGCAAGAGGGCTGCTTAAAAACATGAAGCTATTTAAATTTAAATGTGAAGTTGTCTTACTTTATGAAATAAAATCACATGAAAGAAGAAGGTTCAATTCCTCAGTCACTCTCA